TGTTAGATCTTATTGTGCTAGAGGAGGTAAATCGGCTGTTACCTGCAATCAATCTGCCAAATTTCGATGCGTAGGAACTCCCAACTCCACTCTGGTAGTATACAATTTGCGTAATGCCGTCATCGCTCACACTCTTCAACGATCGCGCGAAGCGAGTAACGTTCGTCGGAAACCCAGCGTCGCCATTATCAGAATCTTGCCAGGTCCCATCACAGCAGATAATGATTCGCTTGCCTCTGTGACCATCAGGCTGAGGATTTGAATTTGTCGCGTTGTCCGCATCTGGTACTTCGAAACCTAGCGTACTTGCTGGGCCCGGGCCAGCGTCCAACGAATCCGAAGGCAGTAACGGACTTGCGGTACTATCACTTCTAACGGCATCCGTTATCGCGTCCAGAATCTCTGAGATGGGTTTCGCTGCATCCGGCGCGAGAGTGACAATATCATCTAGCGTCTGGGCAACTGATGAGGTAATCGGCGCAACCGCCGCACTACCTGGAGGTCCTGTTGCATCCAGAAGATGGTCGCTGGAAGTAAGTGTATCTGAGATGTTCCCCAACGAGGTAGAAACAGTTTGTGCTGTCTCTATCGGCAAGCTTTCGATTTTCTCGATTGCACCTACTATGGCTTCGGTAATTGGATTTGGTAGACCACTAGCTATACCTAGTTGTTTGATATCTGCAGAAGACGCTTCAGATTTCAATGCAGTCGTTATAGTTCCGAGGGCATCGGATACGACCTGAGCCGAAGATGCTGGAAGAATGGTGGCTGGAAGTTCAGTTGCATCCGCCACAAGATCGTTGGCATGAAGAGAAGTAACTACGGTCTCGAGTGCATCTTTGACTGAACCTGGGACCGAGACTGGGAGAATTTCCAATGGATCTTTATCACCAGGCGGAATCAGACCAGCAGATTTCAGGGCGTCGGATACGGTGCCAAGAGCATCAGAAACCGTCTGCGGGTTGGTATTCGAAAGACTACCGCCGTTAGAAACTGCGTCGGAGATAGGTAACGGCGGTAAAATTTGAAGATCTTCCTTCTTGCCTGGGGCGGGGTCTGAGAGAAGATCTTTGGATTTCAAAGCGCTTGCAATCGTAGCTAGAGCCCCTGATGTCGAATTAGGGTCGAGAACAGGAGGTACGTCAGTGGTTTGGTCTGGAATCAGATTGTTCGCTGACAGTGCACCTGCGACAGTTGAGAAAGCAGTGGAGATCGACTCCGGCGCGGGAACTGGTAGGGCACCGGCGCCCAAAAGCTTGATAGTATCGTCTACGGGATTCCCCGTCTTCAATACATTGGTTAACGCGGCGAGCTTTTCGGGAACGGCTGTCGGGTTTTCCACTGAAGCCACAACAATGGCAGGATTAAGAAGCCCAGACAAGAAGCTCTTGCTTGAAGCAGCTAGTTCATCGGGATTCTGTGTATCGGAGGCGGATAATCGCGAACCAGCAAGTTGCAAGGGCCCCTCAAGCTCCGACACTGGCTTGCCCGTTTTCAGAGCACTCGTGATAAGGCCCAGTTGCCGAGACACTATTTGAGGCCGTATCGATGGATTTGGAGGATCGGTTGCGCTAGGAGGAAGCTTCAGTACGTGTGTAATTGTGTCGCGGTCGAGGGCACTCGTAGTAGCATCTGGCTTACGCCCAATGCTCTCGGGAGGAAATGGTGGGAAACTCCCTCTCTTCAGGTTCCTGGAGATTTTTGGTATCCCAGGCATATTTGAATCTCGCCGTAGTCAAAAGCGAATGCATATAACGAGAGTGGAGTCAAGTACCCAGAAAATTTGAAGTAGGAATGATCGAATAGGTATACTAACGCTTGACGTACAGATATCCACCAGGTCATTATTTCAAATTTCAATGGTTCTAAGGTTTGCATTTGATCGGAGCTCAGCGCGCCGTGATGATCAGGAATGACGGTCTTCGCGCGGTATTTTCTAAGTGAACGTTTGCGAATTGGCACAAAGTACTCGATCTATTTGGCCGGGTACCAGTATACTATTGGATTGGCAACATAAACATTCTGGGGATGTTAGGTTGCTACCTGCATTTAAAATGTACATCATCAGTGTATCATGAGTATCATCATGAGTATATATATTTTGTCATCTACCAAGATCCTAGGATCTGCACGCACTCTCGCAACATTTTGCGTTGTTCGAGCGGGCCCGATGTGATCGAAAATACCCCTTCAGGAGTGCGGCGAAGTATTGCGCAGCACCACATTGTAATTATGGTAAACCTAGCACACACCAGAAGTTTGATGCAATCAGGCATGGTCGATCGTGATTGTCACTGCAAAATTCGATCTTGCAATTCGATCTTGTAAAATACAAGTCACATCAGCTCTCAGATTTACACGACACAAGAGACTAACGACACAATAAGGTAGCTGGCGGGAACAGCCGTTACACAGGATAGAGCCAATGGTACCATGGTGCAAACTCGGTAGGATCGGCTATATCGATATATTTGCCACGCAAGTTAAAGACTGGAGTGGCTATACAATAGGCTGAAGTAAAGCTACAGTACTAATTTTTCGAACGTTTCCTCCCTGCGTAGTGGCGATATGGTTGCATAGAAGTGCGTAGTTTCGTGCCCAGCCCAAAGCGGGTACCTGACCAAGTCAATTTCCGGGTCTGTGCTACATGCAGTATACGATCCAGATCATCCTCGGCAGTTGGCTGATCGTCAGCCTGGCTTCAAGTTATGAATCTCAAATATACTGGTGATCTAGACTTTCAACCAGAATCAGATCTTGCTACATAAAGGCGCCTTGGGTACAGCCATCAACGATCGATCTATGCATATCGGCTTCACGCATACGGCCCCTACCTGCAGTCTCTGTTTCCTTCCTATATCCGAGTACCTCCAGATTTCTTTGGGTAGATCACTGTCATGAGACTCGAGACACAAGTATTGCTTTTCACGCTTCTGATCGGGACGGGGCAAACTCTATCCAAACCCGCCTCAGGGGCCCGCCAGAGTAATTCGAAACTCTACTACCGCGACGCGCCCGATGCTTCTGCAAGCTGCAACTGCGGGTACTATATACCCGAATCAGGCCTCACGTTCACCCACTATGTCAATCTCAGGCCCGAAGCCCTGAGCGCGAATGACCTCGCTAGAAGTCTACAAAAACAAGGTTGGACTATCAGCAATCGTCTACAGAAATCTTCGCCGAAGTACATCAACTACACAACTTCCAATATTCAACTAAGTATGGCCTCACAGGGACTAAAGAAGGGTTACAAGGCGCTTCAGCTATACGTCTCCGGTGGGCCATCTAATCGGAAAAACATTCCAGGAGCAGAACTCGGTACGATTATCAAGACTATCCGGCATGGCTCTTTTCGGTTCAATGTTAAGACCAGTACTATACCCGGCGCTTGCCACGGCATGTTCTTTTATAAAGACGATAATCATGAAATCGACGTAGAAATCTTGACCAGCCACATCCACGACGCCACAAGCTCACAGGATCCAGGACCGCCGAAGGCAGGCTTGCAGCTTACAGTGCAACCACTGACGGCAGACCAACCCTCCAAATATTACAAAGTGGTACCATTCGATAAAATGTTTGACCCGACGAGCGGATTTCACGAGTATCGTTTCGACTGGACCAAATCTGGAGTGAGATATTATGTAAATGGGAAGACATACAGCTCTGCTGCCTACATACCGCAGACAGCTGGGCAGATTCTTGTCAATAACTGGAGCAACGGGGATCCTTGTAAGCCGAGTGCCCCATATCTTTCGCGTGACTGTTTGCTAACGCGAGCTTATATGCAGACTGGTCGGCTGGTCCACCAGGGAAAGATGCCATTTTGTCGATAGGGAGCATCGATCTCTATTTCAACGTTACAGATCCGACGCTTATCCGGGCTTGGGACACTGGATGCAAGAAAAGCAAAAATAAGGAGCTTTGTGGTGCTGCTAAGGCCACCACCACTTGAGTTTTGATAGGAAGTGACTGTCGTGTCTAATATTTTGGAGTGACTGCAGCCCGTGGGTCTCATCATGGGGAATAATAGAATACCGGCTGCTGTATCGTAAATGTGTATCAGGACTGTATCGAACGGTTTCGCTGTATAATATCGGTGTATGTATGGACTTTCGCTACTTTGCAAATTTGTGCGCCGTGTGGTGAGGGTCTGGCAGCATAGCTTAAAAGTTGGTGCTAGTGAATCTCACAGCTCCTAGGCCACCAGCTAGACCAAGCCAAATTTGATAATTACTTGTTACTACAGCGCTGCCGGACTTACGAAACTCGTATTTCAAATGGATATTTTCGAGTGAGTTTTGGGGGTCACTACCTATCGTTTAAAGGCGGATTGTCAGCAAGATTCTCGATTCTACTATACGTTCTTATAATCATCCAATAGCACAGACACATCTCAATCAGAAATGACCAAAATTCTGTATCTGGAATGTGGTTGTGCCGGCACAGATTTGCCGCTCGTATAGTAAAGTTCGGCTTTCTGAAGGCACAGACTTTTGAACCCTTTAGATCCTTCCAGCTTCCACATGATAAATACGAAATGATATTAATGTAGGATCGGACTTGAAGCCGCCTTAACTTTGAACCGGGAAGTATTGTTGCAGAGCTGTTATGCTTGCGGCTCGAAGCTCGTCAATGTAACATCGTCCGACGCAGTCTTGAATTCGATTATGGGCTCGAGGCAACACAGAATGTTCTATTGCATCCTACACCTGTAGACAGATCAGAAACACGCGACGTCAACACGACCCGGATCTATACTTGCAAGAAGATTGCTATCCCCAAAAATGACAGAGACAAGTAAATGGATAGCGTGGAATGAAGGTGTAAAAAAATAAGGTGAATAAGAAGTCACTGACCGTTTTCCTGTACGTATTACCGCTTCCAACTTCATGATTAGCTTTTGGTTTACGAGACGGCTGCGAACCCACGTTCGCTCGCTTATTCGAAAGAAACGACAAAAAGAGAACGAGCCAAAAACTTGCAAAAAATCAATTCTAGGGCTCCACCGCGATTCGAACGCGGGACCTCTCGCATCCAAGTTGAAGAACCCAAAGCGAGAATCATATCCCCTAGACCATGGAGCCTAGTATGTGGTTGTTATGGTGCAGGCCGAGAATTACGTTTATCAAGTTTTGGGAACAAGGCATAGTTGAACTTGCCTTCAGCGCTATCAATAAAAGTTGGTCCTTTGAGCTACCGCTCCAAGGAGATTTCGTCCGTCCAAACTCAAAGGCACATGTAATCAGAATCTTTAGTTCCGTGTGCTTTTATCGATCGAGATGCCCCCAAAATGACAATTCTGGTGGTCGCGAAGCTGCTAGCTGCTAGAGTGTCAGACCTAGGGTTCAGCAAAAGCAGAACAAATCACAACGGTTATACGAGGACTTGTCGAGCGCAATGTAGCTATCAGCTACTTGCCGTCGACTAACTCGGAAAGATTTGAGAATGACCAGCTGATATCGTATTTCGCTGGACCTTGCGTCCTGGCAGATATTGGCGCCTAGACATATTATCGATAGCTGTTGCCAAGATAGCTTCGTGATCACCAGCAGCAGGGCATTGAGTGTGCTAGAGAATTGCTTTCATGGCAACATGGCTGTACAAAATTTTACCATTTTGGTAGGTCCACAGCTTTCGAAGGCAACCGAGTTGCCGAGATACAACGTTCAGAGCAGGCCCTTAGATCGTAGTCGTTTTTTTTAAAAAAAATCCTCTACTCGTAAAAGAAACACGGCAACAGAAACACGGCGAGACCCTGTCGCAATTTGCCGTCTGATATCACAACAACAGCGAACTTCTCCGATCTGATTTTAGTAACCCGTCCTGTTCTGTTTGTCTTTTTCTGTTCGCTGGGAATCCAGATTCCGGTATCAGTATTTCACTCAACCCAGGGGCCAGGTACGCACCGAGGTTTCAAACCATGGCGTACGAACACACTGAGGAGACCCTCCGCGCGCGCCCCTAGCCTGGCACGAGCCAATGGAGTCTGATATATATAGCTTGACTTTCCATTCCCGAAGCTAAATTGACGGAGTAAACCGTATTAGTATGCACAGTTGGGTAGCCTGCCGAGGAGCCAACATCACGTCGTTTTCCCAATGAATTGTGCAACACACCTACCAAATTTGGCCAACAAAGAGATTGAACAGGAATGTAGATACCCTCGCCACCTGCTATGGTAGGTTCTATCTATTGCAGGGCATACCTAGTCAAGTGATTGGCGTTGCCAATAACTGACAGCCTGAAGAAGAGGGGGCGAAACTTTCAACATGCCAGTATAGTACACTAGCTTCTGCGCTACAACGTGAATTATCTGCAGGGCATCAAATATGCAGGACTGCTAGTCTAAGTCCCAGGCGGGAAGATAATGAAAACTCTATTGCGCCAATATAAAGTCAACATCGGAGCCCCTTTTGCGTCTACAGGAGATGCGAAGCGATACCACCCATTCCTTCCTTCGGTAACCTCACCGCAATCTGTTCTCTTCCTTCAAGGGGAGGACAAAGAGTGTGCTCTCTGACATCCGCCAGGCCAGTCCAATTCGGACTGATACTGGATGTTCGCGCTGTAGTTATACTACAAGCTGGTATAGCCTACGGCACGCCAAACTCGATCTCTCTCGGTCCCGGTAACTTTTGGGTTGCTGCATAGCCACCTAACAAAACATGGAGGAATCAAAGGCTTCGAAGGTGGTCGAAGGCGGCGACCTTGTCATCCACCAGCAGGAGTCTCCAACCGTTCCTGTCTACTACGACGAAACTCAGTTTGTGCATGAGGATGGTACGCCAACAGAGGAAGAATTGAACACTCTACGACGTGTCGCAGGCAAAGTGCCATGGACAGCATATACAGTCGCGTTCGTGGAACTGTGCGAACGGTTCTCCTACTACGGAGTAACCCAAGTTTGTAAGTTGATAAGCATCCGATATACCGCGATACCAGCATCAATCGCTCTATAAAAATCCATGCACGGATTGTTGCATATGGTATGCCGTCGCTTAATTAAGAAACGGTTCTAACGATCTTCCTGTTATTAGTTACCAACTTTATCCAGCAGCCACTCCCACCTAACTCCAGGACGGGTGCCGGAAGAATCGTTGAGCAGTCGGGAGCTTTGGGTTTGGGTCAACAGACCTCGACTAGTGTCACTAACTTCAACTCGTTTTGGGCCTATATTATGCCACTCGTTGGTGCTTATCTCGCTGACCAGCATTGGTTCGTAATCATACCTCTCACGATAAAAATAGAAGACCAGGTATCCTGACGGTGAGAAATCGTATACAGGGGTCGGTACAAGACAATCATGGTCTCCATCGCATTCGCCATGGTTGGCCATATTCTCCTCGTTATCGCTGCCATACCATCTGTGATAGAGAAGCCCAAAGCTTCTTTTGGCGTGCTCATACTCGGTATCGTTATCATGGGTGGTGGTACTGGTGGATTCAAGTCCAACATCTCGCCACTCATTGCAGAACAATACACAGAGGACAAGAAGAAGGTTGTCACTCTGCCCAGCGGAGAGCGAGTTATTGTCGACCCAGTCTTGACAATCTCGAGAATTTACATGTACTTCTACCTGATGATCAACGTTGGTGCACTCATCGGCCAGATTAGCATGGTTTACGCTGAGCACTACGTTGGGTTCTACCTCTCTTACGTATGTGTTTAAATCCTCCCACCACCCATGCTTAATCATCTGGAATTTGAGACTGTTAAGCTAACCGTCATATTTACTTATAGCTCCTCCCAACGTTCCTGTTTATCTTCTGTCCGGTAGTGTTGGCAATATGCCGGAAGAGTTACGTCAAAACACCGGCGACATACTCAGTGCTTGCTCGCGCCCTGCAACTCATAGGGCTTGCCTCTCGCGGGAGATTCAGTTTAAACCCTATCGCAACTTACAAGAATTTCAATGATGGCACATTCTGGGACAGCGTCAAACCATCCAATATTCCCGCTGAGCGACGTCCTGCATGGATGACCTTCGATGACCAATGGGTTGAGGAGGTCTCTCGTGGCATCAAGGCTTGCAAAGTCTTCCTCTACTACCCTCTCTACTGGATCACCTATAACCAGGTATGTACTATTCCTAAATCAGCTCCAGGTCCGTAGAGAACTCCTCAGCTAACGCATCTATTACCTGCAGATCAACAACAACTTGACCTCTCAAGCCGCTATTATGAACACACACGGTCTGCCGAACGACATTCTGGCCAACCTCAACCCCTTTTCTCTCATTATCCTCATTCCGATCTTTGATCTTGGTCTCTACCCGACCCTCCGGAAACTCGGTATCAACTTCACACCTATCAAGAAGATTACTTTCGGCTTCATCACGGGTGTACTGGCGATGATATGGGCAGCCGTCCTCCAATATTATATCTACCAAAAGTCGCCTTGCGGATACGAAGCATCAAAGAAAGGTTGCGACCCAGCCGATATCAACGTGTGGGCTCAGACCGGATCTTTTGTCCTCATTGCCATCTCTGAAATTTTCGCGTCGATTACCGGCCTCGAGTATGCATTCACCAAAGCGCCCACAAACATGAAATCTCTGGTTACTTCCATCTTCTTAGCCATGAGCGCGTTCAGCACGGCTATTGGTTTTGCCCTTGTCCCCCTGCTCAAGGACCCCCTGCTTGTGTGGAACTACATTACTGCAGCTATCCTTGCTACCATTGGTGCTATCTGCTTCTGGTTCCAATTCCGGAGCTTGGATCGCGATGAAGATAGACTGAACGATCTGAAGAAGACAACTTTCGTTGGTCATAGTGAAAATGCGACTGCAAAGGTAGAGGCAAGTGATGAGAAGGCGTGAGTTCTGTTGAACGCTTACTGTCGGTAAACTTCCAGTATACCCCCTTTGTATTTTTTCTGTTTGTATTTCTCGTAATGTGTGTCAAGGAGGCTCTACTGTTATGGTCAGAGCAGTTTGGGGATGAGTTTGAGAGGACGCGGAATGTTTGTTTAGCTAGAATCCGACTTACGAGGATAGTATATTATATGATGTCCCCAAGATCAAAGTTTTCCATTGTGGTGGATATATGTGTATATACCTATACGTATCTCATATACAATGATTGTAATAGATAAGCTCCGAGAGGACAGGTGAATTATGATCCGCGAATAACCCCCATAAAGACTCCTCTTGGAGGCTCATCTTCTCCCAGAAGTACTAGCGTCCTCGAGGTTAACTAGAAAAAAGTGTTGCCTGTTGCATTCGATCCCGGGCTAGCACCCCAGGTGTAAATCCACTTAGGTAATCTAAACTACTATTTTGTATTATAATCTGCTGTTTTCTAAAACACTATTTAACAGATTTAGTAGATTAAAAGATATCTTATTAAAAATCTATAAATACTTGCTTTAATATTAGAATTAATAGTATACTAACTAATTATAATTTATAATATTTAAGTATTTATGGTTAATCTATATTATATTTTTTAATAATAAAAATAAATATTTTATTTTTTATTATTATTATATTTTCTAATTATAAAAGTAGATATTTTATTTTTTTAATTAATATTAGATAGTATATATAGTTTATTATAGTATTATATATAATATAAATTATTAATAATAATTATTAATAATTAATAAAAATTTATATTATTTTATAATAAATTAATTATTTATATCTTATTTATTAGATAACTAATTCTTGTTTTATAGGATTTGTTAGTTAATCTATTATAATATTTTTAAATTATTAATAACTTTCCTTTTTTCTTTATTTATTTATTGAATAATTTGATAATTAATAATAAATAAAATCTTAAACTAATAATAGTTATTAATAGGTAATTATATATAAAATTTAGTAATTAATAACTAGCTACTAATATATAAACTAGTAAAATATCTAGGTTTAATTTTACTAATAAAATACAACTATCTAATAAATAAAGTAATATATATAGTAAATTTATATAAATAATCTTATAAATAATAAATTAATATTAAAAGTTTAAATTATAAATATTTTATTAATTATATTATTAGATATAATTAATTATTATTTATTATTAAAAAGTCTAAAAAAAATATATATTAATAATTAAATAAGTTTAATATTAAG